CAGGGACAGCTGGGTCCTTCCAGGGACACATGGGCATGGCCAGGCTGTGTTCAGCAGTTACTGTTTGTGAGCTCTCTCCCCTTAAGTGGAGGCACTGGCTGCTGCTCTCTCTTGTGCACAGTGTTCAAAGGCAGGTTCCAACACTGCAGATAACTCTCATTTGACAGAGATGGGATCACCATCTCCAAACAGCAGGGACTTGAGCAGTCATACTCATATTGACAACACAAACAGCAAACCAACTGATAAAGACAAAAAAATGAAGTCATGAATAAGCCTTGTGTGTCCTCTGGAAATGGACTGCCATCAGATGGCTCACTGCCAGCATCCCTCAGTCCCATCAGCTGACATGGAATTCCTCAGTGATTCCTCAGATTGCTACCAGTCAGTGGGTTTGGGCTTTTTTTTTTTAATTTGCCAGAATACAGCAACGAGATCCTCTAATTCTCTATTTCCCCCTTGTGATTTACTTGGTCACAATGGAAGAGAGTATTATTCCAGTTACCAACAAACACATTCTGACCATTGTTCAGCTTTTAATTTGTCTCCCAAGCTCCAGCTCCTCAGACAATATATAGGCTTTTTGAATTGGAAAAAAAAAAAACCAAACAAGCAAAACTTGCAGTTAAAATTGAATTTGGATTAAGCAGCATAAAACATAATACAGCAGAGAAACCATTTCCAGCTCCTCATTTTTTTCTAAGATAAAAAGAAGTATCTCTGCATTCTGTATACTCTGATCTGCACCAGGGCAATCTCATTAATGATGTTCTGGAACTTAAATTGCTCTGCATAACTTAACATCCGCTACTCAAACCTTAATAACAAGCAAAACAGTCCTGATTTAGCTGTTTATATTCTTCTTGAAAAGCCATTCTGAAAGATATTCTACAGCATCCTTTGCAAGACAGCCAAATGAAGAAGGAAGTATTAACTTATTAATTATACAACTCAGAAGAGTCAAGAATACAAAAAAAAATAAAGCAAAAATAGAACTGCCTTTCTCTGTGCACTGCTCTTCCTCCTCCCAAATCCATGAGACTTTTCTGATGCCTTACAGAAAGATGCCCAAGTTTTTCAGCATAGGTAGAAGACAGTAATTATAGGTGGTATTTGTGTATTGTTGCTTTTATTGTTAAATATCATATACGAAGCCCTCAGTTATTCAATTTAAAATTTATCTACTGTTAAAAGAAATGTGTCACTTTCTGAACTCTCCTCTAGTGGCTTAAAAGACATTTATTTTCCTTATCTTTGTTTTTCTGCTCAACTTTAATGTTGATCTAAGATTTACTGAGCACCTGAACTCTCCACAGACAAGTGCCCACATCAGAACTGTGACCCCTCGTGTGCTCCAGTTACAGCAGGGATGGATATGGATCCTCCTCTCCTGTTCTGCCTCTAATTCTAAAGCACTGAAGGTTTTGACCAGTCTCTGCTGGAGTTTTCACATGAATGTATTACCTGTGATATTCTTATGCACCAACCACAGCAAGAAAGTATGTTGTGAAATTGTTTCTGTACCCCAGTTGGAGTATTTGCATTGGGAATAACTACACAGTCCATAACAAAAGCAGCTGAAACAAAACAGAAGGAAAACACAACATATGACCAGAATTTTCTTTCCTCAGTTTCCTGAGATACAAATTCCTGTCCCAGTACCACAGATTAACTTGTCTATATGACCCACTTAAATAATCTATTGAAAGAGTTGTATTTTCTTCATCAGAGACAAAAGGGGTTTTAAAGCTGTTATTCTAGAACACAGTAAAGCAGTGAAATAGAGCCTTTCAACGAACATGAGAAAGTGCTGCTGAAAAGTACAGGTGGAAGAAAAAAAAATTCTATTAGCAGCAACCTGAAACTGTTATATTGGTGCAATAACTACTCTCTTTTCAAATTCTTGAACCTGTACCTGGTGTGAAAGGTCTATGAAGAGAAAAGTTCAGAGCAATTGTTATCACCTGAGGTCTCAAAACCCAGTGTTAGATGGAAAGGCAGACAAATGGCCTTTCCACACAAGCCTTGACCACAGCTGTCCATGTCCTGCCACAGATGGGACTGCATGCTGTGTAAACAGGCACTGCTGCCTTCCCTTAGCAGAGGCTTTTTATGGGAAAGAATATTATCCTCTAGCATCTGTGCCGAGCTTTTCGTGACTGACGTGTTCAGTAACAGGATCCCCTGGAGTTTAACAAAAAGATGGGGAATACACACAAACTGCAGGGTCACTGACTCAGGACATCTGTATCTTATTGTTTCCACATTCCACATTCCCCCAGACGTGTTTCCACTTACCTCCACTGCAACACTGCTGCTGTCTTCTGTCAAAGGAAGACTGAAGCCTCCCAAGAGGCTTCTGAAATGGGCACACTTTCAAACTGTAGTTCTCTGTGCCAGTCAGCTACTCTTCTTTTTGTCATTTGGCTCTGCCTATTCCCTTCCTACTGTTTACAGATACTCAGTACTGAACAGAAAGGCAGAAGCCAAGATGAAAAAAAATCACTATAAACTTGATCACAGCAATAGCCTCAAACCCCTGGCCCGTACTCAGATTCTCTTCCCTTCCAGCTTTACAAGTATAGATACCAATTTCAGTGGAGAAGTAATAAAGGCATAATTAAAGTGATGACAATAGGGCCCAGTAGGCTTATTTTTAAATCCCAGCCATAGCTGACAGCAGAAAGAAACTAAAACTGCATAAAAATTATGCTCTTAGATACATCATTCTGTCAAAAAATGTAAGCAATAATAAATGTTCCGGGAAATATTCTAGGCAGCATAAATCTCAGTAGAAATAGAAGCTCCCCAGCAACATGAAAGCCATGCAGAGTTTGCCACAATCACTCCTTAATGCTGATGAAACATAAGCAATGTCCTTCTGCTCCCCTGCCCTGCTTCAACTTCAAGGTGGCTTCAGGTCGTGTTGGCCAAAAACAGACCGAGAGGAAAAGGAAGAAGTGAGGCAGTAAAGCTGCACAGAGTGTGGTTATCACCAAGTGATCACTCCCCTGGGCACTGAGCTCCACTCTGCTCACAGGGGGAATATCTCACACAAGGACATTGGATTGTTTGATGAATAATGTGTGCGTGTATTTTTTGTGCAAGGACAAAAGATGAAGTTGACAGCTTGAAATGCTGAACAGGAGCTTCAACTAAGTAATACAGTCCACAGATTAATTTTCTTTTCTTCAATGTTCATGAGCTAATCAGAAAACTTTTTCTGTTCTGAAACTAAAAACACACAAGCAAGCACCAAACCACCAACTTTATATAAAGCCCAAACATATAGCACCTACCATCCAATAAAATGGTGAAAAGAATTCTGCCAGATATTCACAGCATACAAAGTCTGCTTTAAACCACTACTCTGATTTTGTTGCCAGTGTCTAAACATTTCTTCGGTGTTGTCCTTATATTTTGGGCCAGGCAGAAGCTGACACCAGAGGAAAGAGATTAAAAAGTTGCTCAGAAGCTTTTTTCCTTCTTTTGACATTGGCCTGTCCATCCATTCACTGGAAATGACTGAAGATCTAAGCAGAAATATTTCAGAACACAGAGAAGTACCTGGACACCTCATTTTCACGAGAGAGCCACAAGAAGCAAGACAGGTGTACTCTGCAAAAGGTAATATTGTATTAGGACTGACAATGCAAGAGAAGAAATGTCAGTGAGCTCACAGAGCAGTCATGACAACTTGACCATCCCTGTTCCTTCCACAGCAGCACTCTGACCCTGTCTCACTTTTCACTGGAAAGGCTCCCAGATCTAACCCCTGGAGAGCAATCAAATCCCTCCCACACAGCCAAGCCCTGATCCCCACACTGAGTGCACAGCCCACAGGTGATGGGGCAGTTCACTACATTTCCCCTGGAGGGACTGGAAACTGGCTGTGACAGGGAGAGCAGAAGAGCTCACCCCGAAGGCATCTCTCTGCAGTCCCCTCCAGCTGACTTGTTTTGGAAGGGACAATTTGTCTGTTCCTCCTGGAGGAAGTGATTCACTCCTGTTACACCAGGATCTTACTGCACATAAACTGCATGGGCTCTGAGTGACAACCTGTCAGAGACTCAAACTTGCTGGGAGAGCGACAAGAAGCTGCCAATTCCATTTGTCCTTCAGGGCAGCCTGCATTACACACTTGGCAGTAAGAACACAAGGGAGATGCTGCCACAACGGCCCTGACAGAAGTTTGAGATACCCATGAAAGTCTAAGTACCTGTAGCAACTGGATTTGTTGGACATAAACACAGGTTTCCTGAGCACAGCAATGATGCCCCGAGCATCACCAAGAGCAGCTCACTGACTTCAGATACTGTCACAGATGGAGAAAGGAGGGAAACTGCTCTGAATCTTAAGCAGACATTTACTTAGAGACCAGTCCAGTCTCTGAAACCTTGTTCCTCTCCAATCAGACCCACTGATACTCAGAACTGCAGGATGGCAGCACTGCCTTCCAGCTGTTTTTGCAGCTGCACAAGATTCCAAATAGACACTGTTTGTCATATGCTATATATTGAACATAAAAGTATGTTAAGCATAATTGGATAAATATTCACGACCAAGATGTTAAACTGAAAAAATTAGACAAATAAAAGTACTAAGTAGTCTTCTTTAAAAAAAAAGGAATCAATTGTCTTTAAATTGACATTAAGAGATGTCACAGAGCAAATAGATTATTACACTCAGTGTCAGAACCCATGCAAGTTGAAAATAAGAGTCACACCAAGCTGTGGAAATAAACAAGATTTTACAACTTGTATACTTGTTTCCAGCTCTCCTTCTCACATCATTGCACAGGTATCTAGCCAACTATCAGCACAAGAATACAGACAGAAGATTAAAATTTCTTTTTCTGAAATGTGTACCTGAAAACTCAAACACTGTAAGTCTCTCAGCAATATCATGAGCTCAGACACACCCCTCCCCACCAGTGCTTCATTTAAACTTCCCATTTGAGTTTCCTCTCCATTTCACACACTTTAACTGAGCCAGTCACTATTTGCTACACAATGGAAGAACATCTTAAGAATAGTCTTTGCTCCTTATTTTGAAACAGCAACGTGGCCCAACAAAATAGCATGAGCTACAATAACATTTTCTATTTACATAGAGAAGTAGCTTCCATTCATATACTATATTTCTCTCAGGAGTAATTCTCATTTCCTAAAATGACAAGTTTGCAAATCTTATCAAAATTGCTCTGCATCATTAGCTTGGCAAGAATTTCATTTCATCAGAGTATCCAAGGCTAAAGACACGTCAAAACTGAGAAATTAATCAACACAGCCAGCTTTCAGAGTGATACTCAGCAAGGAATTATGAGCTGTATCACCATGGAAAGACTATTCAATTGAACACACAATTCCCTATCAGCCCAGCATGGAGGAATAACCAAACAAAACCAACACAGGAATGACTGCCTTAAATAACATCAATCAGATCTACTGTAATATCTACTTGCAGGAAAGTGGGAGAGTAGGGAAGAACTGAACAGTCAGACTGAACCACCAGCTGAAGGTGGTCTCATACAGAAAGTGAAAAATGCAAACACAAGGCTGGTTAGTGAGAGGGTGCTGGAAATCATTTCCACTCAGAACAGCAAACACTGGGACCTGCTGCCTTAAGTGTGTGTGGCTTCCCAGAAGCAGGGAGAAGAGCTGAGTGGGAGCAGGCCCTGCACCATGAGGTTGTCTAATAAGATTAATGCTGCTGCAGAAAGGGTGCCAAAGCAGGGGTGTGCTCTGGGCAATCTGTATCTGCTCGTGGTCATGCAGAAAGGATCCACCTGGGAGCTGACACACGGCCTGCACACAGCCCAGTGCTGGATCTCCCTTCTTCTCCCTCAGGCCCAATGCAGAAACCACTCAGCACATGTCCTGCTGAATGACAAAGGCATGTGCAGTGCAAAGGATTGGCCCAACCACACTGATTGTAGTCAAGTATCCAAGATCCTTCCTTCAGCTGTGGAAACTCTGAGTTAACGTAAACCAGCACTGTCTTGTGCTGATTTTTAATGTTTCAGGAAAGATTAATGACACAGCTACTCTGACAGGAAAGGTATCTTGAAAGCTTTCAGGTGCTTTAATCCCACCACAGCATGTCACCTCTCAGAGAAAAAAGGTATCTGAGAAATGATGGAGCCAAGGTTTTGTTTTCTCAAAACACAAGGCACAGAGCCCTCAGGGTAAAGACTGGCCATGGCCTGTCAGGGAGTCCCAAAGAGTTCTGTGGGAAGCAATGATTAGAACACAAGACAGTGCTCCAGGGTTGGAGAGACCAGAAAGTACCCCAGGAAATGATGACTGCAGTAACTTCAGGATCTTACATGCCAATCAGCAAAAACCACGAGCTCTGACTTCAGTTTGTGTCAGGCACTGTCACACATCTGGGCTGTGATGTACATGAACAAAACTGCTCCCTTTGACACCTGAACTGTGGTGTTTTATAGACTTACTTCAAGTCAGCTGCTAACAAATTAAATCCATTGTAAAGATGTCCCTCTGCTGAAACTTTCTTCAAGTAAGAGTAGCTGTCCAGATCTGCAGTCAGGAAGTTTGTTACAAGAGCACCTAAGAAAGAGAAGGACATAGAACAAATATGGGTGAGCTCACTGTTCTGACAGGCCTGGTAAAACAAACAGCAAGATAAAGATTCCTGTTGCCAAGAGGCTGTGACAGTGGGGAAAAAACCCCAAACCCCAAAATCAAACCAAGTAACAAACCAGCCTTTAAAAGTCTTACGTCATTGTATCATGTTCCTATTAAGAGCTTGACTTTTACTCGGAAGAACTCGGTCAAAAGCTCTTGGCCAAAAATTCTACAGAATTCATATTACTAACTACTCTAAAGTGGATGTGCCTTTCCTCTCCTCCCACCTTACAAATTCTTTCTTGTCTTGCTTCATTTCCCTGATATATGACCCTAAAATGAAATACAAATGACATGGTTCATTTCTTTTCTTTGTCTAGCATCTTTTGTCATTCCAATATATTCCCAGTGCAGCAGCTTATGACAGTTACAAACAGACCTATTGTTACTCTAAAAAACCCCACAGATGTGCTCTGTTGAGAATCCTCTTCAAAAGAGTTTTTTTCCTATATTTCTGCTTCTCTGATCTGGGGTAAGGAGAGACTATAATAATCTTTCAGGCTACCTCCAGCATAACTCAAGTTGTATTGATTCCCTGACATAGGTGTTTGAACATGAATATATACATTTTAAAAAGTCTATTTTAATCTAAATCTAGCTCAATGCTTGGCTAGTTGTTCTGCCTGTTAATCAGAATTATTTTCAAGAGGAGACAGTTGGTGCTGCCTTTCTTGTCTGAATGTAACTTCAGGCTCCAAGCACTACATCTTGTTTTACTTTTGCCTGTTTGATCAGAAAATCATTATCTGAGTCAAGTTTCTCACACAGGTACTCAAACTCATCAGTTCACAAATTCTGTTTACAGCACATAAACATTCTATTTGCCCATAAAGCTGTGTTAAGAAAATTAATACTGTAATCATCACTGTTTTACTGGAACACTAGGGCTTGTTGGTTCACTTTCTTTTTTTTTCTTCTTCTATTTCAACTCTTTCATACCTCTTCCTTTTGCATTTTTATCAATCTTTGGCTGCATATAGTTTGTCAGGGCTGCCATCTTGCCTTTTTTACTGATTCCCAGCCATGTCCCACCTTCTTTTCCTTCCTCCATATCCAGACCTAATGGAATAAGTAAGAGTTAGGTTATTACATTTGTTTAAAAAAATCTCAAGCTTCGACCAGAATTTCTTAATGCAAATGCTGAGTCTTCATCAGGCTGGATAAAATGCAGTAGGTGCAAGACTGTCTTTCTGGATGAGTGGCATAAGCCCACTTAAGTTATCTGCCCTCTAATTCTGCACTATCAAGTATTTTCCAAGCAACTGCAATAACAGATGAGAGATAATGAGAAAATTAAACGTAAAAGCAAAATTAAAAGCTTTGCCCATATGCTAAACTACATATGAAGCTTTAAGAATGCTCAGAATGCTTGTTAGCTCAAAAGCCAATCCCAGAAGATTAATGTTATATGCAAGTTTAAATGCACACATAACCAGAAACATTTAAAGTAAACTGGGTAACTGATAAACATCTTGGACTCTGGTAACAGGAATGGAGGAGGGGGACCCAGGAAAGTGAAGTCCACAACATTATTAACTCCAAAAGCACGGGATCTCAAATTCATGGGATCTCCCCAGACACACTCCCCAGATGGAGAATACACCAGTTTCTTATGCCAAATATGGACAGAGCTGAAAGGGTATAAAAGACAACAGTTCAGGGCTCTTCAGTTTTCAGGATAGCTTTTTATTTGTTTAGAACTGCTCCACAGCAGGGGAAGCAGCACCCAGAATGTCTGGCACAAAACAGAAACACCAGGCAGAACTTGAGAAGCAAGGGAGTGGTAGTACAGTGGGAGTAATTCCTCCTCCCAGACCTCCTTGTCAGTGACAATCACACACAGCATCAACAAAGAGTATTTGCAAAGTCAAAATGTTGCATTTAAACAATGCTTTATCTTCCAGAGCTTCATTTCTTTTTCGCAGAAAAGGCAGAAGTATTGATCATACTTAAAAATTTCTACAGACAGATTCCCCACAAAGGAGAACCAGACAGCTGAGGGACTGTATTACCAGTCTGGCAAGATGTAGACACAAGAGCTAATAAACTGAAGGATCAATAACTAAAATTATTCTGTAGCCTATAAATTATTAACCAATAAAAAATGAGAAAGTTTTCATGTTTCTGAGGCTTTGTTGAATGATTTCTAGTCAATATTACAGACCCCGAGTCTGTGGAATAATTAATTCCACCTATTTTAAGACAAAGTAATTCCACCTATTTATCAGACAAAGCTAAAGTAATCATTTGCAAGGGAGCAATTAATCTGATTTATTTCCACTGCACCACTAGGACTGAAATCAGTTAAAAAAATGTAAAACTGGTAAAAAACCCCCACAAGATATTAAAACACAAATAAGATAATAATAGCACAACTCATCTTTCAAACTTACATATTTTCCTCAGAAGTATAAGGAGGAAGCAAATTTCATATTAGAAAGGCAACACCACCACCCTAATAACAAAAAAATCCAGGCCACAATTCCCTAATAAATTACATGAAAACCTGTCAAAACAGCAAGACAGACATACCACTGAGGATCTCATTGCTACTGTCCCAAAACTCGGCCGATTTGGATGGTCTGTGGTAAAATTCATCTCTATTAGCTGCTAGAATGAGCCTGGAGAACACAGGAGGAAAAACACACTATTACTTACAAATTGGAACTTCACAGTGCAGGCAGGAACAGAATCCAATTTTTGCCACAGCATTAGCTCATTTTAAGCATGAAACCATCCTTTATCCTCCCATCTCACCTTTATCACTCAGTGTAAAGGCCAAAAAAATGACATCTGACAGCAGCCTTGTCTCTCACTGTCTCGAGACAGCAAGTCCATCCTGTTCAGTGAATGAGGCAGATGTTATTTTCAAAGAACAATACTTCCAATGGAAGAGGCTGAATTAAGATCACATAAACAACCTTAAGATTCCTCAGCATGAAGTTACAGCTTCATTAAAGAAAATGTAAAGATAACCCACAGATTCATAGGTAATTTACCAAAAATGTGAAGCATGAGAGAACGTTTTTATGGATCATTGCTTAGGATCATGCAGTCACAATATCTCTTAATCTGTCTTTGACACCTAAAGCTCTAATTATGGGGTTCAAAGACACAAGTTAGATGGTTTTGTCTGTAGGTACTCAGAGCAGAGATAAATTTGTGATAGTGTTGGAGGTCCAGCCCCACGGAAATTCTTGGATGAAATGACAGTATGGTCAGGGAGGCAAAGAAATAAAGGGAACAGCTGTGGGGTTTTGTAACAATCAAGAGATACTTTGGTGGGCACTTTTTCCCTGATTTTTGTTGTTTTGTGGGTTGGGGTTTTTTTGCATCCATAGTTGCTTGCATAATTTGGGTTCTGCCAGAACAAGAGGAGGTGGCACCATCAGGAGGTAGGAAGAAGCTACGAAAAATAATATGCAATTGAAAAATGTTGCTGGATGAAAGCCATTATTTATATTTAGAAATAAACACATGGCTCCACAAGACCAAGTGCTGTCCTGACAAAAAGCATGCTGCAGCTCTTCACGTGCCATCTAAAATCTGATAGTTTTAGAAAATCTGTACTTTGTACTTTGACAATTATCTCTGAACTTTGATAATTATCATAAGTGGCACTTTCACACTTGAAAGACCCAAGTTCAACATGATATTTAAAAAGCAGCAGGCAGGCAAGATAAGACAGGTCTTCCTCAAAAGTTCCAGTCTTTGCAGCACTGCAGATCACTCAAATTCAGTATTAACCCCAGTTCCAGTCAGTCAGGTTATGAGTGTAAAGTTTTAACGAGTCAGTACAGCCAGACAGCTCCACAGGAATTTAGAACACTCTCCATTCTTGGCCTTTGAAAGAAAAAACTGTTTCTCTGTCCATTTCATCCAGCAGAAGTTATTAAAACAAAGCAACTTTTTTGGTGTCCTCCTCACAGATCACACAGATCCCTCACTGAATGTGTGCCACACCCACTTCAGCAGCAGGGTTGGCACTGCAACACCAGAAAGGAAAGTCTGGGCTAATCTGACTGCACATCCATCTTCTGAAACTGAGCAAGTGAACACTTTCTGTTATTCAAAAGCAAGGGAAGACAGCATCAGAAACTAAACTGAATTACTTATTGCAACATCAGACAGACGCAGGGTATCTGTAAATAAGAGCTTGAGTTAGAAATACTCTAGAAAAAGAACTGTAATCATTCAGCTACAGAGAAACTAAACAACCCTCAAAGTTCAATGGCACCCTTTCTGGAAGGCACGTGCTTTGTATTTTGCCCAACAAAGCAGCATCTGTTGGAAGCCAAACTGTATGTACATTTTTTTCTTTCCAACACAAATATAATATTGTTCCTTTCAAACTTATATAATTTTTCTTCTCCTAGCTGATTCTAGTCTTTGACCTACAGGCTTTCAGCTGGTTTTCCAAATTTCTGTCATCTTACTTGAATATGCTCCGTTTATGTCGTGCAGTTTCCTTTTGAAGATTTTTATTTAAATTAACATCACCACTGTTAAAAAACAGTTTGGCTGAAGTGCATTTCTCATCTCCTGAAGCTCCAATTATACTTTGCTTTCAGTGATTCTTGACATGAAACCACGGTTTGTTTATAGTATCTAAATACTAAAAATAAGTGAAATCTTTCTGGTGTGATTGAATATTCCCTGTCTCAAGTTTAATGCAGACTCCTAAATTTATCACAAGGTTAGTGTACAAGATCATAATAATAAAACCATCTTTATTTTGTCTTTTATGAAACATAATCATACTGAAAAGGAGCAATATTAAGTGACCCTCATCTTCTAATAAATTGCAAAAAGCCTATTCAACCATGTTATAGCTGAAATAATTCAACTGTATTAGGATTTACGTATTAAGATTTATTTTAATATTGAGAGAGATGAAAACACAAGAAATCATTCCATTAAAGCAATTTCCTACAATGCAATTCAGCTCCTTAAAAAAGACTCTGTGATTACAGCTCTGAAGCTTGAAACACGTATTTATTTGTAAGATGCTCACAGCACAGTTCAGGAAGATGTAAAGGCAGCGTGTTCCCTCTGACAATAATAATGGTCTGCAGTAAAGGGCTCGTTACACTGCACTAAACTACAGTGCAAACAGGCCCCAGAGAGCAGCCAGAGCAGCTGCAAAGTGCAGGCACACAGATGTGT